ACTATATATATATATATATATATATATATATATTCACTATCAAAAAGACAAGATTAGATTATTAGAAGTAGAGCTGGGCAAGAAACTAATCTTGTTGCACAAATGCAAAAACAGAAGATGAGTTTCATTATTTGAGAAATCCTCATAAACCAATGAATTATGAAAATAAAATTCCATGGGGGTGATCATCATTAAATCAAATGATGGATGGAGATTTGAGAGAGTGGAATCAACTATTGGAGTCATCATTTGTTCTGGTGTTTCCACACTTATAATAACTTGCTCTTCCTTTCAATGAACAGTGATCACCCCAATGGATTATGACTATACTAAAGTCTGTTGGCTAATAATATAATTTCATTTTGTCTCTTGCTTGTAAGCTAGGGAAAAACCAAATGAACCTACTTGTATGAGTATCTTGGAATGCCAGAGGCTGAGATGACAATATCTTTATCATGGCTTCCCCACCAAGACCATTGATTACCTCTTTTTACTGAATTGGTTGCCCCATTAACAACTTCTGAACCTGAAAGCACCATACTTGAATCCACTCCATTTACATATATTGGCAGAGAGCCCCTGCTTTGTTCACTGCCACGACGTTGAAGTTGAGAACGCTTTTTGTACAGCCTCACGAAGATAAATCCACATAATGCCACCAATAATCCAATGGCCACACCAACAGAAACACCTATAATAACCAAATTAGTTTGGTGTGTCATCCCTTAGGTCTTTATGGTGCTGGGAAGATACGGACATCTTGCAAATCCTAAAGAAAGATCGCACCTATATAAGACAATGCAATTATTTGAAAGTATGAGAACCACAATCTAAGTTCTTTGCAAAGTGAATAAATATAAAATAATCTACTATACATGAATATATATGAAGTAAATGAACTTTCCCACTTAAGAGACCTTTCAAAAACACAGACACCCCCAATTAGTTAAATTCAGAAACCAATAGAATATTGGAGTATGAAAACTTGCCGAAAGACCTAAACAAGTAAGATGTCCTCTAGTTATTTGTTGATACAATTCTTGGAACTACCTAGCACGATATCTATCAATCTAGCATAAACAATGGCCTTAGAATGAGATGCAAAAATAATAAGGTTTGATCGGATTGTCAAATCTGCAGCTTTCCTTCTAACCCAAAAACTACGACAGAGGTGATTAGCAGCATCACAGATGCCCCAATCAACTGCTGTTATGAGTATAAAAAATGTGCAAATGTCTAAAACATATTGCACCTTCCTGATTATTGGGATCAGATTATTGGGATTACTGTGGAATTTTATGATCTCATAGTTCAGGTCATAGTACGCTCTTGTATCGAAAATGTGCAAATGTCTAAAACATATTGCACCTTCCCGATTATTGGGATTAGTGTAAAATTTTGTGATTACATAGTTCAGGTCAAAGTGCACTCTTGTACCCATCTTGGATTGTTTCATTAGAGTTTGTTTTGGACACTAGGGGTGAAGTGTAATCTACTTGATGTGATCGGCAATTAACACTATTGGCTATTTGAGATTTGGTTATTTTCTTAGATAATATATAAAGAATGTCTTTATGGTTAATGTTTCTTTTACTGGATAGGAACTATCTGTGCTTGAAGCACCTTGGCGGGTTTCACCCATCACTGACTAGCAGCTTAGGTAACATTGATTGTGACCTCTAGAATCCGTAAAATATATGTGCAAGGACCTGTACATGTTACTTTAGAATGAGGTGAAGCACATAGGGTTCGTTTGATTTATTATTGCATTAACCTACAAATATTCCTTTCTTCTTGGAGCAAGAGTAATATTTTTGTTACTTGCTTCCAGATCCTTCTCAATTATGTTGAGTCAATCAGCCAACAATAGGCTGCAAGCTAAATATATTTACTGACCATGGAGATATTCATGAAAGTTCTAGTATCAGAGAACTTGTTAGTATACATGAAGACTACTAGAGTAACATCGGTGTTTACAACCTGACTTTATTCGACATACACGTTATCATCATCATATGCTTAGGTCACACAAGGTAATTGGACCTATAGGATATATCACATGAGGAAATAAATGCATCTTCTACATAAGAAAGCATTTAAAAATTTGATAATTTTCAAGGTAGCATAGTAAGGCTCATTACTTGTTGAAATCAAAGAAGTTCCAATCATAAAACAATATGATGACATCAAAGGTAGAATACAGATCTCCCAATCCATGGAAAATCAATTTGAGACAGTCAATTCAACCACAGCCTCGCAATGATAGTGATCATCAACAAAACAGAAGACCCAAAAAAAAAGAACATGCATCAAACAAAATAAAAACTTATATCAGGAAGAATTCCCATTATTCATAATTTGATATCTTTACTCAAAAAAAAAAAAGAAAAAGGAAAAAGATAGTAACCAAGATTTCCATAAAAGTTAGAAAAGGCTGAGCCAAGTCCAAATGCTTTGATCAATATAGCCAACTGACTTCCGTGTCTGTCTCATCAAAATTCATACTCCCCAGACTAAATAAATAAAAGGCTAAACATATAACTAAGATCATCCCATTTAAACATGAAAAGTGCCACAGATAATACAGTCTTATACAGATAACATGAAAGTGCCACAACAGATAATAGAGTCTTATAAAGTCTTCCTTTTTCCCCTCAGATTTTACTTTTCTTTCTATAAGGTATTTTCGGGCTTTCAAGAACTAGATTGCTGAAGCCTAGAACACTATTAGATCATCAGGAAAAAGTTAAGTCATCAGTAAAATTATCACAATATCAACTTAGGACTATGGGAAGCATTTCTCAGTGACAACTATCGAATGGCTAGCTCTTTTATAATAAAAAAGAAACAAGCAAATTTGATCAGAGGGTCAAGAACTATGCTCAGTAAACAAACATATGCTGCAACATCCATCGAAGACAGTAATATCTAAAACCCCAAAACTGAGCATTCAACAAACACAGAGAGAGATTCATCTCCCCATGAACAAGCAAGAACCCCCACAAATTTGCAGAACCAACACAAAACATCCAATTAAAGTAACTTCAAGAAAGAGAGAGAGGAGAGTGTTCATTTCTCTATAACAAAAACCCCAAATCCACAGAAGTAACACAATTGAAACCACAACATCCAATTACAGTAACTTCCATGGAACCACAGCAAGGAAGAAAAAATGGTTGAAGAAAGAAGGTTTCTTTCTCTAAAATCAAGCACTCTTGAGATGAGAGAAATGGTTCCAAATGAAAGGAAAACATACCCGATCACCATGGGATCTCAAAAGCATGGAATGTCTCTGGAGAATGGAATGTGTGAAGAAGATTGTTTTTTTGGCTTGGGAATACCCGTTGACAGCGTGGTGGACGAGCGAAGGACTACCATAATGTAGAGAGAGAAAGCGTGTAGTTTGGGTTCGGAGTCGGGACAGGGTTTTCCAAAACAAATAACGGAATAATCACTAAAATATCCTTAACTTTCAAAATATGCCAAAGGTCGCCCTTCATACTTTAAAATCCTCGTTTTTAAAAAAAGGAAAATTGTTTCCCGCGGGCTGGACCGCATGAAACAATAGGCGGTCTAGAGGTATATAAAGCATCCATCTTAAAAGACGGGTGCAAATAGGTGCTCCGTTTAAAAACAAAGGGAATTAATGATCTAAGTATTTATTTAATATAATTATTATTTTTAGTTTCAAATTTTTTTTTTCATATTTATGATCTTTATGTTAAAAATTATATATTTTTTAAAAATTAGGATCAAATTATATTTAAAAATATATTTATTGTCAAGCCTGTGTTTCTACAATATGCAGCCTGGCCACATAGAAATCGTGTCCTTAGAAGAACTGCATATTGTAGAAATAAAGGCTTGGCAATAAATATATTGTTTAAATATAATTTGATCCTAATTTTTAGAGAATATATGATCTTTAATATGGAGATCATGAATATGAAAAAAAAGATATTGAAAACTAAAAATAATAATTATATTAAGAAAATATTCGAGCCATTAGTTACAATTATTTTTAAATGGACCATCCATTTGCATTCATCTTTAATATAGATGTTTTATACCTGTTGACTGCATATTGTAGAAATGCAGTCCAGCTCGCATGAAACAATTTTCCATAGGTAAATATAGTCTTCTTGTACCAAAGGTGAGCGATAGTGTAGTGTACATTGCCTAAAACATAGAAAAAGATTATGTAAGGGCAAGGCCTTAAACAATCAAATTGAGGCACACCTAAAACATTCACAAGAACATCTTGTTTTGATGCTGAAAAACCCACAATTCGATCATCTCGACCTCAAGGTATATGGAAATGAGAAAAAATAGATTTCAAGTCTTGGAAATGATGCATTTATCTAGACCGTCAATTTTCAAGTGTTTATAGATCTGCTCCATCTATATTATTTTTTAATCTTTAAATTTTATAATTGAAGACAAAAATAATTTTTTAGAACATCCCAAAGATTTATTATACTGAAACAACATGTTTCGACACCATTGAAGGTGCACCTTGCTTTGATTGTTTAGGGCATCAGCCTAATACAAACCAGACCCTTAAAAACATGTACATCGTGAGCAAACTGGACTCCAAGATATAATTTATAAAGAGCTAAAGAAGGCAATTATTGGATTTTAACTTAGTGTTTTTTTCCCTAAAGATGTTAAGCTCTTACATTTTCATATTTTGATTTTTCTTAATTTTTAGGATGCAAGGATAAAAGTAAGCAATAGTTTTTTTTTTTGGCTTAGAACAGTAAAGTCAAGACAACATGAGGCGTGCCGTGGCCCTAGGCATATTTTGACTTGGTTAAGTCTTGGCAAAAACATAGAAAGTTAGTCCCTTGCCCATTCTCACCAATAAAAACCAAGTCCAACTAGGCCACTATGAGATAGAAAAGGTCCTCAAATGTTTTTATATTCAAATTATCCGGCTTTCTTTCATTCCTCTTGTAGTTTATTTTTAGGAAATTTTATTAAAATACCTAAAAGGAATGAACTATTCGATATTTTTATCCATTTGCAACTATTCCAACTCAAGATTTTCTTATTTATTTTTTTATATTTTGGAAATAAATCAAAGGTTATGGATAAAGTGCCAAACTGTTCATCTCTTATGTGTAATTTGATATTTTTCTCTCATTTTATAACTACACAAACATATTTATTTGAGATGGATTAAATTTCTTTTGTTTTTTGAGTTTAAAATTTCACAAATGATTTCCAAGTTACCTAAAGAAAGGAGTAATAAGAGGCCTCCAAGAATTGTGTGGAGCTTAATAACTCTAAATTTGAAGCCAAATGTTTGCATTTGTCATTATGATAATTATGACCATATTCAAGAGAGGAATATTTGCAAATAATTTTGACCTGTTTGCATTTTTGCTCAAGGGTGGCTTCGTTTACGTCATTTCCTCAAAGATTTGAGGTGTTCTTGTCATGTATTGGATAATGGATTGGGGATTAGAGATTACAGATTAGTGATTAGGGTCACTAACCACTTAAACTAACGACAACATCAGCCGGCAACTAAAAATATTGCGCGTTGATGTCATGTTTAGTTGAAAGTACATGATGACAAATGCAGTACTAGTGTAGGGAAAGAAAACTATGATCCATATGACCATATGAAATGTGGTCATGATCGCCCCACGGTCCAAACGAAAGGGTTGAATGGTGATTAAAAGAGTGGGATTAGGGCTGGCAAACGGACCAGGTCTAGGCCTAGTCTCCATAGGGCTGGACTACGCAGAAAAGGCCCTGGCCATGTCTGGGTCGGGTTGGGCCAAATAAAATGAAAAAACAAAAAGAAAATATTAAAGAAACAGAGGGATCAGCCCGAACCTACGTTCAGGCCGTAGTTGCCCGGACCTGGGCAAACGGTCAGTCCACATTTTGTGGCCCACGCCTACTTTTTAGGGTATATACCCTGATTGCCGTATTGCTAGTCATCGCAATGAGTTTTGGGATCTCTTAATGGTGCACACTAAATTGCCAAATTGTTAGTTAAAGTCTTAAATCACAATGAGATTTTGGACCTCTTAACTGCAATGAGAACTGTGGAAGACCATATTGAATCAGATTGATATTGAATACATGATATTTGATAATGAGGAAGATCCCAAGATGAGAATGGAGGTAATATGATGGGATAAGAGGTATAAGACTCGGTAAAAGGTAGATTTATTCCTGATCTAGGTTTACTCACAGATCACACTAGACCCGGGCCTCACCTAGGACCTGATGTAGACACAACCTGGGTCAGGTATGGGTTCAAAAATTTGACCCAGTGGCTTAGGTTTGGGTCTGGATCTGGATCCACATTTGGAGCCCAAACACTATTTGGATTTGGGTATGGGTTTGGTCCATGTGATATTTAAATAATATTTAATATATATTTAAAAGAAAAAGTTTATATAGAGCCAAGGCTCTAAACAATCAAATTTGAGCTTACCTTAAAATTTTCACTAGAGGAGGTTGTTTTGATGCCCAAATATCTTCAACTTGATCATCTCGACATCAAGATGCATAGACATGAGAAAAACAATGATTTCAAGTTTTAGAAATAGTGCACTTTGTAACGCATTTCTGGACTGTCAATTTTCAAGATTTTAAAGTTTTCATAGATCTGTTGATCTACACTATTTTTTAAGCTTTAAACTTTATAAATAAATATCAAAATATATTTTAAGGCTAGCACAAAGATTTCCAGTATTGAAACTATATTTATCGATAGTATTTGAAAGTACGCTCTAATTTGATTGTTTAGAGCCTAGGATCTTTACAAACCGCACCCATATTTAAATAGACACAACCATATATTTTTAATTTTAATATTTAAATAAGGGTATGGTTTTAATAAGCTTGCAACCTTAAACAATCCAATTAAGGCGCCGCACCTCCAAATTTTAACATGTAATTTTGGTGTAAAAAATTCTTAGGATTATCTAAAACTGTATTTTCATATCTAATTATAAAATTTTAAACTCCAAAAATAGTTAAATGATGTAGATCTATAAACATGTGAAAATCTTGAAAATGGTCGGTCTAGATAATGTGTCGCAAGATGCACTATTTTTGCAACTCAAAATTATTTTTTTTTACACGCTCATACATCTTGATGTCGAGATGATCAATTAGAGGGTCTTTCAACATTAAAACAACCTTTTCCAATGGATTTTTTAGGTACATCTGTAATTCTACATTTTAAGGTTGCACCTTATATAAACTTTTCCCATTAAATAATGCATGTACATATTTAAAAAATTTATGAAATATATTTAAATATTTTGATTTTTTAGTCGGGTCTGAGTCGCACATTATATTTTTGGGTTGGGTTGGGTCCAATCCCAGCCGAACTTTGATGTGGACTCGGCCCAACCCGACGTATTTCCAACCTTAGATCTGAATTTACAGAAAATTAGTAGCGTCAGGTTAAGGGAAAAATAGAGTTCTAGATTTGAGATTTTAGATAAGAGACCTACAAATAAAGTGGGAAAGTATGGTTTAGACGTTGAGTTTAGGTATATATATCTTAAATTCTATGAAATATGCACCATTGGGTAACATGATCTTTATTGTCCCATAACGTCCAAGGGTCAAATTGGTAAGAGAGAAGAGAGAGTAAAAGAAGAAAGATTATGAGGTTATTCTAAAATACCTTGCTTCAAAAATTGTAAAGCATCAATTTTTATACTAAAAACAAAGGAAATTAACTTTGTCCAAAATGTTTTCTTACTAGAATTATTATTTCTAGTTTTAAATTTATTTATTTATTCATATTCATGATCTCCATATTAGAGATTACATGTCTTTAATAATTAAGTCTTAAACTTCATTTCAAAAATAGATTTATTAAGAGATCTGCAGTTCTACATATGTGGGCTTGGCCGCATAGAAACCGGGTATTTTTTTATTCTTTACACTTTTTTTAAGGGTGTGGTTTCTATAAGGTTGCAACCTTAAACAATCCAATTACGATGCACCTTCAAATTCTGTCATAACCTACAATTTTGACGTAATACTTTTAGGATTATCTAAAAATCTATTGGCCTATCTAATTATAGAATTTTAAACTTAAAAAATGGTTAAAATCAAGTACATCTATAAATATATGAAAATCTTGAAAATGGACGGTCTAGATAATATGTTGTAAGATGTACTATTTCTGGAACTCAAAATCCTTGTTTTTTTCATTATTATATATGTCGATGTCGAGATGATCAATTAGAGTGTTTTTCAACATCAAAACAATCATTTTTGATGAATTTTTGAGGTGCATCTGTATTTCTACATTTTAAGGTTGCAACCTTATATAAAATTTTTTCCTTTTTTTTTAACTCTATCATTTTAATATTTCTGGTGATTTAATAATGTTCAATACTCTTGTCAAAAAAAGG